GACAAGAACTGCGTTTGCGTCATCAAAACTTGGATTAAACTTTGGTAATGTCGGGAAAAGTCGGATTTTTAAGGAAAAATGTTAAAAATCAAAGAAAAACACAGTGAAACTTTGAAGAATCGAAAAAATAACTTGATGTGCATAATAGCACCATCAATTCCTGTCTCTGTACCAACTCTGAACTGAATTGGATCACACATGTGTGAGAAAAAGCTGGTAACATGAAAATGTGCACACACGAATGCACAGACACGACCCAAATTAATACCCCCCGCCCGGATCAAAGATCCGGCGGGGGCTAAAAAACAATAAGTATGTTCAGCGAAAATTAATTCCAGCTAAAATAATGTATTTTACAGTATTGCACTATATAGAGAAAAATTGTAATAAGAGTAAATATACTTACCTTCTACAAGTAATTTATTTGGAATAAGTTCATGATGAACTCTAGGTTTAATGATACTATCTTTAGTTGAATTCCCATAAGATAACAAGTCTAGTAGAATTTGCGCTATTCCAGTAGTGATCGTCGTTCCTCCATTGCCACCTAGAGTAATTCTACGGTCACAGGGACTTCGAGAATTCAAGACGATTGTTGGCACGGTAGCTGATTGAGGGCGCTTTCCTGGCTGGATGTAATTCGACTGTGAATACGTGAAAACAAAACTGTTTAACAACTGCAATGTTAGTATCACAATTTCCATACAGGAATGAATATTACTAGCTGAAATAAAAAATGTTTGTCACTAATATGTCCATGAAAATGCCATGGCCTATCTAAATTAATTCTGATTAAAATCAACGAACAGAGACTCAGTACCTTTTTATATTCAGTCACACAGCCTTGAATCTTTTGTACATTTGTTTTCATATTGATGCAATTAGTTATTTTAATAAATCTTCTGATAGTTACATAATTTGTAATTTTTTACAGGGCCTCAACATTTTAGTATGTGCCTCAAGTCACGTGTAATTTAATTATTTTCTTGAAGACTTCTCTCGGCAGAGCTCCAGAAGGAGTACCTGCACTTTATGCAATTTTTTTTTTAAAATTATGCTAATTTATTCATGACGTAGCAGTTTCTGTGCTCATGAATATTCATTAATTTGTGGGTCAATACATTTTAAAAGGGGCGATATATTATTTTTGGGGGAAGAGTTAGAAAGGGGGATTAGCAATCCTTAGGGGGTCAATACAAAAGAAGGGACCCATTTGGAGAGCAGCCATG